GGCCAGGGCACAGGCCAGCACCTGCAGTGGAGATGCACCCTGTCCCCAGAGACACAGCTTGCAGGAGACTCTAATGTACCTCTGCATCAGCCTGGCAGCTGTCTTTCATTTGCAAAAGTAGAAGTGTCATATTTGTATTTTTGGTTCTGATTTGAGAGGTATGTATTTTGGTCTTAACTGAAATCCAGCATTATGTGAGAGCGCCCTTCTGTGTACTTCACCTTCCTTATAACCAGGGCAGTCTGTTCCTCGAGGTAGACAGGGCTGCCCCCAAAGCCTGGTGTGGCCAGTGTTAGAGCCATCTGTCCAACTGGAAATGCCAGTTGGTCCCTTGTGGGCACAGAAAGGTCATGTAGGAGGGTGGTATGGGATGATTTTCACCCAAAAAACCCTTACCTGAAAGGCATGGGGGGTGGGGGACCTGGAGGAACAGGCACAACTTTGAATTCCTTTGAGCTTTTCATTAGTCAGTGATTCAGGAGAGGAGAGGAAAGGCCTTGACTCTCATTGGCATGTGGAGAGGCAGAGGGCTGGGACAGGATGCTGCTGCTCATGGGAGTGACCTGGAGAGGTTCCTCACACCCAGATGCTCCTGCGTGCAGAGAACTGGCCTGCAGACTGGCACTGTGGTGGGAGTCAGACCTCAAGGTGGGCTGTGAAATGTGTGGGCATATGTGCACCTGTGTGCTCATGCACCTGTCAGTACCGGCTTCCTTTGCTTAGCTGTGGCCCTGAAGAGATTTCGGGCCACTCTTGGCATGTTTATGTGAGAAGTTGAATAAGGGAATCAGAGAGGATGGGGGGAGGACCTACCGCCTGGTACCAGCTGTGAGAGCTGACATGCTGGTTCCCTCAGCTATAAGGGAGCCAGTTTCCCCACCAGAATGGAGACTCTCTCCACGTGAGGCTGGCAAACAGCAGCCTCCAGCGAGAGAGACTGGGCCACACCTTCCTTATTGCCCTCATTCTCCGTGAACCAGGAGTGGAAGCAGCTCCCGCCAGACCTGCACCAGCTCACAGGAGGTTCAAGATGGCAAGGACCCCACAGCTTCTGTTAAAGAGCTGTCATCCCTCGGGCTGGAAATACAGCTCAGCTGGCAGAGCGCTTGCCTCACATGCACAAGGCCTTGGGTTCAATCCCCAGCACCACAGAAGAAAAGAGAAAAAAGAGCTGTCATCCCATAACGAGCATGACACCATCCCCTCATCCTTTCTGAAAAATAAATGACATGTGAGCCTGTGGGGGCGCCATCAGAGCAGAGGCTGCGCTGTGGGATGTGCAGGCCTAGCGATATGGCAGCAACCTCCGGAGGAATTGGGCAGCAGGAGCGCTAAACCCGAGCCTGTGGCAGGGGGTAGGTGTGACTGATATCCCTACAGTGGACACTTAGCCATCAAACCCAGCGTGCCCCTCCAGATGGCCTGAGGCCAGGGCTCCTCTCCGTTCTGTGGCTGAGAAGGGTCAGCCCAGCTGCAAAGTGTGGAAACAGGACAGGCGCTCCTGCGGCACTGAGGCCCCTCATGGGTGCAGTGTCAGCTGAGCATGCTTGCACCCTGCCCCCACATAGCTGGGTGTTCTCTGGAGTCCTCTCTGCTCTCTCAGGATTCTGGCAGCACCCATGCTTTGGAGTGAGACGGGAACTTCCCCTGGGGGAGGCCCCATGGTCCCCTGAAGGTGGCTAATCAGGGCTCAGTTCCACCCAAACTGGCCAGAGCTGAGCAGCAGGGAGAAAAGGGTTCCCCTAGACTCACACACAGACCCCAAAACATGATCTCTCCCTAAACAAAGCACGCGAGAACCAGGAGCACCAGTAGGGAGGCAGCGCCCCCGTCTTGTTCCTGTGCTCTGTGCTGGGTGGAAGGTGTATGTTGGGCCCCAAGGACGCCCCCAGGATGGCACCCCAGAGGTGCACCAGGCAGCACCATGTGCGTGGCACTGTGTACAGTGCATAGCCATTGCAGTTTAAAGAGCATATACTTCCCAAATGCTCTGCATGGGTCCCAGGCCTCCCAGGCAGAGCTGAGGGAGCCAGGGAAGCTAAGACAGGCCAGTTGATGCCCCTGCCTTGGTCCCAGCTGCAAAAGGGCCTCACAGAGCCTTCAAGTGGATCCTGGAGGCCAGGTGCACTGGCTCTGGTGCATAAGCTGAGCCCCAGTTCGTGAAGACAGAGTCAGATGAAGTTCCTGTGGACAGAAGGACGGTGGTGACGCCTGCATGCCCATGTGAACACACTTCAGGATGAGGATGAGCTGAGCAGTGTTGCTCACCTGCGGTCCCAGCACTCGGCAGGCTGAGGCAGGAGGCTCAGGAGCTTAGGGCCAGCAGAGGTGATAAATTTTATGACAGTTTTACCACAACTTTAAAAATGCATATGCTGAACTGAAAATTCAGGAAGAACTAAGGTGTTCTTGGCTTAGATGTGCAGAACCAGTTTTTAAATTTTCAAACTTTAATAAGTGACTCATCAGATCTCAGTTTGCCTAGGTGGACCTCTACTTAGTTCTCTGCACAGAGCCTGTCTCCTGGTCCCAGGAGGGCATGTGGCATGCACCAGAGTGGACACAAAGCCCTCACAGCTACCTGGGGCACAGTCCTTGCTCAGTACATGGTGATCACTACAAAAGGTGGGCAACATGAGGCCACAGAGCCCAGTTCATGTAGTCCAGCAGCCCCTTCCTGAGAAGAGCAGTTGGCAAGACCCCTAGGAGACCTGACTCCACCATGAAACACCCCCTCAGCTCTTCACCTGAGGCTTCCTGTGCCCCAGGAGGAAACTGGCATCTTTGGTCTCTAGTGCTTACCATGGGGGTCATCGCATCCACCTACCCATATCCTATCGGGAAAAATTACCCCAGGGACAGAGAGCAGCAGGTGGTTGTCAGCCTGCAGGCCTAGGATACTGTTTGGGACATGCCAGACAGAGCTGCACCTCGGGGACCAGGCCAGGGCAAGCCAGGCTCTGCAGAGCCACTGACGCTGAGGCACCACATGCACACAGCCACTTGGTAGAGCTCAGCCATAAAGAGGTACTCATCACAGAACTCAGAAAGAGCTGAGACACTGGTCCCAGCCAGGACGCTGCTCATGACTGGCCTCCAGAAGGCACACCTTCCCTGGCCTTGGCCTCTCTGGCCTGCATCTCAGGATCTGGTCAGAGACTAGCCACCAGGGACAAGGAACATGAATACTCCTGGCAAGCCAAGAGGAAAGTCAGTACCAGGGGTAGCGGCCTCTCAGCCAGAAGGGGCCTCTAGGGTCCAAACTAACCCTTCCAGAGGCCCATGGGGGCCGAAGAGGCTCCTTCCCCGGCCCCAGAGAAGCTTCCACTCACCTCTGTCCTGAGCTGCACTTGCTCAGTCCTCCACACAGACAGAGGTAGAACTTCCTTGTGGGTACCTCTCTCAAGGGTGGGCACCCCCTCCCCTGCTGCATGCTGTGCCCAGATGTCTCACAGTGGTCAGCTCATCCAGCCTCACCTAAGCCTCTACCACCTGTGCCACCTAGGAGCACTGCCAGCCTGAAGACTGCTGGGTCACCCAGCCTGGCCAGAAGGAAGCTGGCAAGAGGAACAGGCCAGTGGCCAGTGGCGCTCTCCCTTGCAGCCAGCCCAGAACCCACAGCCCAGACCGGCCTCTCTAGTCCACCTGCTGCAGGCCAGGCCTCCACAGCTCCTCTGCCAAGTGTCACCGAAGGACACACAGGGAGATGCCTCCTGCGCCCAGCTTTAGGGAGCTTTAGGGATGGAGGAGACAGCAGTGCTGCCTCTTACTGAGGCTGAATATACATGACACAAAATGTATGATGTTGACTTTTTTTTTTTTTGCACTGGGGATTGAACCCAGGGGCCGTCAACTACTGAGCCATATCACCAGCCATTTTTATTTTTTTGAGACAAGGTTTCACTAAGTTGCTTAGGGCCTTGCTAAATTGCTGAGGCTGGACTTGAACTTGCAATCCTTCTGTCTCAGCCTCTCAAGTCGCTGGGATTACAGGTGTGCGCCATCACTCCCAGCTAGTATTGACTTTTCAAGTGTCCATTCACATTGTCATACAGTTATCTCCACCGTGCTTGTCAACTTTCATCCTCCCAAACAGAAGCTCTGTTCCCCTCAACTGGCTGCCCAGCCCCTCCCCAGCCCCTGGTACCCTCCCCTTCCATTTCCTGTGGCTTGGTGACTCTGGGGAACCTCACATAAGTGGATCCCATGGTAATGTGATGATGTCCTTGAGGCTCAGCCATCCTGCAGTAGGTGCTTGAGGCTGAGGGATCCATGTGGCTGGCCACACACTGCTTACCCATCATCCTCCCTGGTCATGTGGGCTGTGCCACAGAACTCTGAGTTACCAAACACTCCTGCTGTGACCACTGTGTACAAACGTCCCTTTGCAACTCCACTTCCACATCTGGCTCTGAATCCTAGGCAAGCCCACAGTTAGTGCTCGCATGCAATGCCACACTGACAACTGTGCCCAGAAAGTGTGCAGAGTAGGGACGGCCTACACTGCTCCCAAGGCCAGTCCCTTGCTCAGGAACCCCAGCCAGAGAATGGTTTTACCTCATCTCTGGCCCAGATCTGCTGTTGGAGGCCCTCAGGCCCCCCATCTCAGGCACAAACTCTTGGTGCTCCCCCTGCCCTTCCAACCTTCCTGCCCTCCACCTCCCACTTCGCTCTCCACCTCAACTTTGCCCCTCACGACTCTGCAGGAGTCTCTTGAGCCACCTCCCTCCCTCTGGGTGGCTCTGCAGCTGTTGGGGCACCACCTGTCTATACACCCAGCCCATGGAGAGGTATGTATGGACACTAGGCACCAAGGATCCTCAGACCCTTCCTGCAAAAGTCACACCAAGCCTCAGTACTAGTCCCACCATCCAACCTTCCACTGGACCCTCCAAATCAGGCCTTGCACCCTCTAAGAGTGCTGAGCACTGAATCTGCCCGAGACTTCTCCCCATCTACACCATTCCCATGCAGGACACCCAGGGCTGTGCTTGGTCCTCAAGTCTGCAGATGAATAACAGGTCCTTTGGGAAAGATAGGTGAGGCTCAGCCACTCCATGGAAAAAGGCAATCTTAAGACATTGTGCTTCTTAATGAACTGAAGCAGGACATCAGAATGACACCATGTAGCAGGGGATGCTTCCCAGGGATCTGGGCTCCTTTAGACTTTCCTTTTAGGGGTGACGGGGATTAAACTAGAGGTGTTCTACCAGAGCTACACTCCTAACTCTTCTCTTCTCTTTCTTATTTTGAAGTAGGATCTTGCTAAGTTGCCCAGGCTGGCAACTTGTGATCCCTTAGCCTCAGCCTCCTGAGCCACTGGGATTAGAGGCCTGTGCCACCACACCCAGCACTTCAGAATTCTATAGGAATCCCTGCTTCTTAAGGGTCTCGTGGCCTAGGGGCAGAAGTCTGATGTGGAGGACATGGTGGCCAGCTGCCCACTCCTGCAGGAGCAAACTGCATAACTGATTTTCGACAGACCCCTTGGAGCCAGTGTGGGATCCTGCAACCCTAGCCCCTCTTATTCTGCCCCATGATAAACATCTCTCAGCCTCTAACTTCTTCTAAGTCTAAATGTGCAGAACCCAAACCAGATGTGCCTGCCTCATGTTCTGAGAATACCACCATCAGAAATGTGTCTCTGTAGACGTAAGTACTTCGTAATGAAACACACAGTTTCTTAAATGAGCCACCACACTGTAACCGTACTATGGGCCCAGTGTGGAAGCTGGGAAAGTGAACTATGGGAGAAAAACCCATAACCAGGCTTGGGGGAGCCAAATGGGCCACAGTGGCAACAGGCCAGGTCCCTGCAGTCTGTGGCACCCAGGTGTCCTGGCCCTTCCTGCCTCTATCCACCGGCTCTGTGAGCGCTTCCACTGCCACCATGGCTGCCAGTCCCAGAACTGGGGAGTCCTCCCTGGAGCTCCTGAATGCCCCCAGCAGCTGAGACAGAGCCCTGGGCCTACATAGGCAAGAACCACCCATTTCACAAGCCCCAAAGGACAAAGGCAGAGGAGGAGCTCCAAATGACACAGGTGGATATTATTTAATGGTAAGTGTATGCCAGATCATCTGTGCAGGCACAGGCATCTGGGTCCCCAGGCCCACGCCCACACTCACCATCAACAGCCACACCTCAAGAGCCAGTCATCCTGTCCCAACTGGTTGAGAGGTCACCTGGCTACGTGTTCTTCCTCTCTGCGCCACCATGACCCCAATAAGCAGGATCAAACAGCATCATCACTGGTCACTGAACTCAACTCCCGGTTCAAGTCAAAGTGCAAAATGCTGCCCTTCACAGTCTTCCCACCCCCACATTAGCCTCCTGAAATGCACCCTGGCCCTCAACAAGGCCTGCAGGACACAGATGTCCATACCAGGCTAGGCAGAGGCTGTACCACGTGCAGGCACCAGGATGACGCCCTGCATACCCCTAGCAACTAAGGCAGGCATGTAGACTCACACATGAGGACAGCAGGATTATATCCCTAAGCCCAAGCCACTGGTAGCCACTAGCTGCCACGGTGACTCTTCCCAGAATTCCACAGTGTATTAAAGCCCCACCCAGATTAAAACACAGATCCACAATCCCCAGAGGTTGGGATAAGGGAAAAAATACATGTCCCATGGCCCCAGGCCTCTGAAGGGGCCCAAAGAGTAGGCTGGGAATGCACCAACCAAGTAAGAAGCCACACAAGACCAGTCGGGACCAGCACCCCAGAGGATGCCACAACAAGTTCTCAGGGCAGGTCACCACATGGGTGGGCATCAGCTCAGCCACATGTCTATCTCATGGCGTTATGTTCTTGCAGGAAAATGGCCCCAACACAGATCCTGGGGAAAACACACAGCAGACATCCCCCACACTGGGTCCCACAGACTTCTCAATCACAACTAACCCACAGGAGAACATTCTCTTCCAGCCCAAATATCCACTAAAGGGTGTGACTGGCATGGGAGGACTTGAGGTGGGCCAAACCCCGTTGGCACGGGGCTGGTGGCAGGGTAAGGAAGAGATGATTTCAGATCAGCGAATAGGAACAGGTTCTTAAAGCATCCTGACTCAGCTGCATTGGAGCAGGAGCTCAGGTGAGGCTCCTACCCGGTGCCTACCCAGGCCTTGGCAGAACAATTGTGGAGGGAAGTTTGAAACCCAGCTGAGAATGAGCAGCTGTGAGCAGCAACGAGCCAAGTTTAGAGAAAGGGAAACTCGGGTTCTTGTTTTAAAACACAGATGGTATTTAAGAAAAAGAAGGAATGACAGACAGCTGGCAACACAGGTGGCCATGGTCCCTGGTTCCACCAACTAGCCCACCATGTCACAGTCCCCAGATCTGCCAAGAAAATGTGTCTACAAGGGCCCCAGAGAACCCCAGGCACCGACAACTGCCTCAGGTGCAGGCAGTACCCACACTGAGTGTGAGAAGGCGGACATCCAGACAACATGCAGCGCCACTGAGGGCACTGCAGGAGCCAGGGCAGAAAATAGGAAAGAGCTTTATTTATTAAAGGAGCCATCTGAGAGTCACTCTGGAGGATCAGACCACGGGAAAGCACTGGACTGCAGCATGCCTTCTTTCAGATGACCTGCGGACCCCACAACACTCGCCAGGGGGCGCCTTTCAGAGCCACTGCAGCACTCTGGAGAGAAGGCGATCGCTCCGCTTCCACTTCCTGCGAACACCTGTCAGGAGCTAAGAACGCAGCTTACCGTCCAGGAGTCCATAGGCAGTAAGGTCAGGGAGGAAAAGCAGCTGTGGCCCAAGCAATCCAGGCCTGGTGCTGAAGGCGGCTTCTGGGCAAGGGCCCCTGCCCTCCTGCTCCATGCCTGGGGAGGCTGCTACAGCCAGACAGCCAAGAGGTGCAACGCCACCTACGTGCGGTTCAGCGTCTGGAAGATTCTAGAAATCTGCAGCATGACTGGGCCGGTTTCTGGGTCATTCATCCACTGGGTGCTGTTCAGTGGGTTCTCCAGCATGTCTTCAAATGCTGTGGACATACAATGAGTGAGGCTGAGTACCAGCATGCAGAAACCAACAAGCCCAGGGGCGACTCTCCTCTCGATTCATAAAAGAGGAAAGGGTCACTCAAAACTTCTGCCAAAAGCCAGGAGGGGTGGTGCACACCTGTAATCCCAGTGGCTCCGGAGGCTGAGACAGGAGAATCCCAAGTTCAAGGCCACCCTGAGCAACTTAGCAACAACTTAGGGAGACCCTGTCTCAAAAAAATTAAGGCTGGGGATGTGCTTCAGTGGTTAAGGGCCCCTGAGTTCAATCCCCAGAACCAAAACCAAACAAAAAAAAAAAAAAACAACACTTCACTGCTGATGCTAAGTCCCAGCCTAAAATCCCCCAGACAATACCCAACAGTGCCCCAAATAGCAGATCTGAGAACAGAGGCTGCTATTCTATCTGGCAGGGTGCAGCTCGCCTCTGTGTTCAAGCACCTGACTCTGGACAGCCACCTGGCAGCAACTACCAGGACCCCAAAACTCACCTCAACCTGCAATCCCACACTGAGAAAATAATGCAGGCACAACCAACACACAAAGGGCCTGCTGCAAATTTAATATCACTGAGTTTAAAAGTCTAACTTTCAATCTTAGGAAAAAACAGCACATCAGGGCTGGGGCTGTAGCTTACAGGTAGAGTGCTTGCCTAGTAGTGTGAGGCACTGGGTTCTATCCTTGGCACCACATAAAAATAAACAGATAAAACACACACACACCATTTAAAAAAAAAAAACAAAAAACAGCACATCAAAAAGGTAATGGAAGAGCTGGGCTGCGGGGGGT